GAGTATAATTATAGTATACATTTACATGCAGAATGTATTGCATTCACAAGGTCTATCAATACACATCGGATACAGATAGAAAGTAATTTTTAACGAATGTATAATATCTTGAAAAACAATTTTAAAGTTAAATTAAATGCAGGGTTTGAGTCTGTTTGATTTACAAAATATTATTGCATATTTATTTTTATTTTTTTTTTTTAAAACATACGATATTTATTTTCGTTTTTTCATTTTTTTTTTTTTCTGAGATAGGAGAAATAATAATGAGATTGTGTAGGCAATAAAATGTTATACAGGCAGAGGAGAAATATATGTAAATGTACGGGAAATATTAACTTTGTAACTTTGTTTAATAAAATTGGTAACGCATGGAAATTTGATATTTTTTTTAACCTCATTGGCATTATTATTAAAGCATTATTACAAGCAAATTATTTCTTATTAGAATAGTTTTTATTAAACTTATTTAATGCATTATTTATTTATTGCATTAATTTATATTTGTTATTATATTATTATCAATCACTAGCTTGCATTCATTGATTCTTTCACGAGGGATAAATGAAGAATATACGAAAGATAAAATGAAGAATGAACAAAGGTAAACAAGGATTAACAAAGCAAAATACACAAAAGAATATAATATTATAAAGAAATTTGTTCACGAATTTATTTAACTGTAAAATAATAATATTATTATTATTATTTTAAGTAAGCTGTAATAATAAGCACACGTTTTACCGATAGTGTTTACAAAGTGTTTATAACGCAAACGTTGACATTTAATCAACCTTATAGTTTATTTACCATGATGATATAGGATAGTTTGTTTTTCATTATTTTTTAGACTTTTTTTTTTTTATAAAATGGGTTAAAATGGTTAAACCCTTGTTTTATTAGTTTTATTATTTTGGAAATACGATGACTTTTGTTTTGATTGTGAATCGTTTTTTAATTGAATAATAAAATAATAAGAATAATAATAAATTAATTTTAATTATTTAATTAATTAATACAGAAATACATTTAATAAGTAATTTAAGAAATACATTTAATTAATTAATTAAATAAAATAATACATTTAAAACCTGAACCTGTAAAAGAAAAAAAAACTTGTTATTGAAATTAAATGATTTACGACACATAATTATACATAATCAACAAACTAAATTCTGAAAATAATGATTGTAATATTTATATATTGATTTATAATAAATAAATTTGGAAAATCTGTGGCAAAAGTCATACAACGGAATGAATGACTTGACCGCAAGATTATTGTAATTATAGAATACTGATAACGTATATCAGTTATATGGGGAGGACATTAAGGTATTAAAGTTTATTGAATGCACGTATTTATAATAGGTAATATATGAAAAGTGTATTGAAAATGTGGAATGTGTATTAAAAGTATGGAAAGTTTTGAAAGCGTATTGAAGTATACGGAAGGGTGTATATTTGATATTATATATATATATATATATATATAGAATATATAGAATATAAGAAGCCAGGATAGGTAAAAAAAATATTATTGGCGCGGTAATTTCACATATTACATATTACGCATTTTTTTTACTTTCAAATTACTTTTTGGTATTAATTAAAAATCTAAAATTAAAAAATGACAACTGGGCGTTTCATGACCTTTTGTCATTAGCCACATAAAAAAAATAAATAAAAAATAAGTTTACTAAAGTTTAAAGTTCATCATCCACAAATATAATTAAATTAAATACAAATGGATAAATAAAATTAAATACGAATATATTTAATAATAATTATTTGTAATTTGGAGTCCCTGAAAAAATTTAAATATATTTTTATTGTTTTTTTTTGCCACTAATTTCTTTATAAATTCTTTTTTCGAAATTTCTTTTAATCGGTTTAACCAAAAAAGAAAAAGTTGTACATTTATTATAATTATTAAATGTTCAATAGAGCATAATTATTGTTAATTGAAGAATTGTGGCAAGTATCACTAACCATTTACATAAATAACTTGCCATTGCCATTGTTGCATTTGGTCCATTATTACCATTATTATGACTATTCTTATGATTAAAATGATCTTTGCCACAAATAACCATCCACACACAACAATAAAGAAAAAGGCATGCGGTCAATCATCCCCCTTAAAATAAATGTCCATTAATAATATTTTTTAGGGATTATTGTGGCTATCCACTAAGTTTATGCCATTTTTATTTTTTAGGTTTGATATTTTATTTATTATTTAAAATTTGATTTAAATTTTTTTATGCACGCACACATCGTATACATTAATTTCTGTCTTTTTTGTGTAGTACAAACTTTAAAAAAACCCGGTTTTCAAATCAGTAAGTTTCCCGCCTTTTTTTTTTTTTGAATATCATTATGTATTTTTGTGTTATACGTGTTATATTATTATATGCGTTTGTAATATGTGTTATGTGTATTATGTGTGTTGTTATATGTATGTATGTGTAATATGTATTATATATGATTATTATGCTGCTGTTGTTGTTAGTAAATCTGAATGAAATTATGGAAATAATGTAAGTGACAATGAATTTCGCATTAAAAAAAAAAATTAATGTTTTTTTTAAAAAAAAGCCAAGACACTAGAATTTTCTTTAAAAAATCTTCCTAACCCGTCTAGAATCATGCATGTAAGACGATGTGTGATGTATACATTTCTGTATAGTTACTATTATAGAAATATTTTGTTCTAAACGCCACATCTTTTTCTATGCAATGCAGCAGGGCTGATATTACCTATTTTGTGTATATTGTGGATTCGCATGCCATCATTTTTTTTAATAATAATTATTTTTTTCTTAGTTTAGGAATCCTATTTGATTGCTTTTTTTCCTTTCATTGCGGCCCTCTTTTGGTCGACAACATATCTTACTTTATATTAAAACCTTTCCGAGAAAATATGAAAATGAAAAATCAAAATATATATATATATATATATATATAAAATCAAAAAAAAAAAATTAGAAATCAAAAATGTAAATTAACACAAATTAAAATCGCGTAGAACAAATTAAAATAACAAGAATGATCGATATAACTGATAAGAAGAATACTTTATAAATAAATTAATTAAATAGGAATAAATTAGTTAAATAAAAAAATAAATTAATTAAATAAGAATAAATTAATTAAATGAGAATAAATTAAATGAGAATAAATAAAATAGAATAAATAGGAATAAATAGAATAAAATAAATAAGAATAAATAGAATAAATTAAAATAATAATAAATTAAATAAGAATTAAAAGTGTGATTTGATGATGATTATAATAAAAGAATAAAATTAATAAAACTTGCTTGGGGGTGAGAAAAGAATCCAAAAAAAGTTTTGCGTTTAATTAATTGCAGGTATTAAAAACATTCAATTCATCCTTTCTTGTAAACATGGCAAATATGTAAAATTTTTTTTTCAGATTGTTTTATATTCATTGAGATCACTGAGATAAAATACAAATAAATAAAAGTATGATATAATAAAATATATTTTATATGTAAATATATATACATATATATATATGTATGTATATACAGCGTATAATATGTTCCGCATGTTCCGTAAAGTAAATCATAATTTACTTTACGCCTTTCATAAATAAATAATCTTGAAATTTTCCAATTTAACCATATCAAAATAAATCTTGCAAAGAAAAGTCAAAAGAGAGGAAAGAGAAAAACGCATGTAATTAATCGTACATAATAACAGAAAAGAATATTTATCCTTTAAAGGTCAAGACTGATACATAGTGACCTTTATTTAGGAACGGAAGAAAGTAATAATTATCATGTGGCGATTACATTTTTCTAAAGAATAAATGATTCGAAATAATTTTAAAAAATAATAAACATATAAAACATAAAATTAATAAGCATGACGTGTTAATAATAAGCAATATTCATATGATTAAAATTGATTGGAATAATAATAATATAATGATAAGAAGAAGAATAATAAAAAATAACCCACAACAATAATAATGATTAATAATGATTAGAATAATAATAATAAAATATTTTTTTCGATTAATTGTTGAAAAAAATGTAATGTAATTGTTGTTATTCCCGTTATTCCCAAACAAACATTTATTTTTTTTACATTAATTTTATATTCATATATATTTTTTTTTATATATATTCGTTATCGCTGATAATAATAATGATTATGATTATGATTATGACTATGACAAGAATAATAATATAAATGATTACAATATTTTGAATATGATAACTTAAAATAATCTAGAATCATGTTAAATTACTTTTATAAATAACTTACAGTAACCTAGATAATATAATTTATAATAACTGATAACTTTTTTAAATAACGACGACGATGAATAATTAAAATAATTTAATTTTTCAATGTAAATAATCAAATATGCATTCTCTATTATCTTTGAAATTTTTTAATATAAATAATCAAATATACATCTATTATATTTTGAATATAATACTCTTTATTGTTATAATTTATAATTACTATATTTTTATATATATATATATTTTACTGTATATATTATTTTAGAATAATAATATAAATTAATTTTTTTATATTATAAATAATAAATAAATAAATAAATCTGTTTAGTAATAAATTATTTTTATGTGATATTTTCGTGTGTAACAGAAGTAACAAAAGGTAAATATCAATTGTTTTATTATTCAGTTGGGTATAAATAGTCCTTCATTCTTCTTTCTCTGTTTTTTTTTTAACTCTCTCATCTTCTTTTACCAAAATTCTTATCTTTCGCTAAAGATATCTAATAATATTTTATTACAAGCTATAACAAAAAAAATTATTTTTTTTGATATTCATACCTTCCCTAAATTTTGTGTATATATATATATGTATGTATGCATATGAGTTTCTTTTTTTGTGATTTACAAAGTTTCTTGTTTTCCATTTTATTTTAATTTTCATTCATTTTTTATTAATTTTATTCATTTCATTATTTTCAATTTTAATAATAGAAAAATGAACGGTGAAAGAAAAGAATTCAACAAATATTGTGGTCTTATAATGTTCGAACCGCCTTCTCAACCATTAAATCAATCTATTTCTGCTGGTGCTGCGGACGTTGATGCATTTCATTCAATTAATTATTATAATAATAGTAATAATAATAATAATAATGAAAAATTACCAGGCTGCTTAAAGATAAAGAATGAAAAACGTCCACCTCGTCCTCCTAATGCTTTTATCTTATATAGAAGAGAAAAGCAACCGGCTATCCTCGCTACAAATCGGCATATGACCAATGCTGAGATTTCTAGATATATTGCAAACTTATGGAAGAATGAATCCAACGAAACTCGTCTCATGTGGGAAAGATACGCCGATCAACAAAAGCTTAACCACATGAAAGCATATCCGAATTATGTTTATCGTCCAAATAAATCTAGAAATGAAAAACGTCGACAACAAAGAAGGAAACAACGTAAAGCGACAGCGGGATCTAATAATAATAATAACGATGATGATGTTGACGATACATCTGCCGGTTCTAACATTACGACTCCTGACATTTCTACTCCAATTGTTGATATCACCAATAATGCAACAACATCCAACACCACCACCACCACCACTGTCACCGCCGCCAACACCACCAATAATACTACAGCCGCTGTTTCTATGATTCCAATGTCCATGGGAATTAATAATAATATTTATTATAATCCTTCAATGGAAATTAATAATTATTTTACTCAACAACAACAACAACAAGAACAACAACAAGTTCGAAATAATAATAATTTTGGAATCATAATTCCACCACCACAACAAATCGTTCCTTCTAGTTATCCTATTTCTCCTTCTTCTTATACTTCTTCTTCTCCAGTTTCTACCACTTCTTCTTCCCCTTCGTTAAATTCCAATTCTACTTCCAGTTCAGTATTAAATTCCGTACCTATGAATCATTCAAATAACGAAAACGAAAATAATAATTATCTTTACGATAATGATAATAATAATGATAATAATAATTTGATTTACAACAATAATAATAGTAATATTATTTATGATGATAATAATATTTGTGACAATGGATTGGGACTTGGATTTTCGGATTTCCTTCAAGATCCAACAGTCATAAATACAGTTTATAATCCTGCCATTATCGATGAAATATTTAGAATGGATTATCAAAATTATTTTTGATTTAAGCGAAAAAAAAAAAATTAGATTTCAATTTCTTATTATTAGTATTATTATGATTTACTATTTTTATTATTATTCTTGGTTTTTTTTTTTTTTTATTATTTGTGCTCTAAAAATGCACAATTTATCAAAATGTACAGTACATTTAAAAAAAAAAATTATAAATAAATTGTATGTTACGTTGTCATTTTTTTCTCTTCTTTCAAAGAACATTGAACATTTCTTTTTTCTTTGTTTTCTTTATTATATAGAGTAAAAAATTTCGTATATATATATATATTATATTATATTATATTTATTAAATATCTTTCTTCTTTTTTCTTTATTTTTGGGGGGAATATAGTTAGTTTATTTTATTTAGTTTTAGTTATTTAGTTTTAGTTATTTAGCTTTAGTTATTTATTTTTCATTTATTTATTTATTTCTTTCTTCTTTTGTTTTTTTTTTTGTCAATATTTTTTTAACATTTTAAATATATTTTTTTCAATTTTAACTATATTTTCTTTCCTCATTTTTTTTTTCAACGAATGATGTATGTTGACCATACATCACATTCGGAAAAGAAAGAAAGATTCTTTGTTGTATATGAATTTCTTTTTTTTTTCTTCATTTCATCATCGCCATCACCGTCATCATCATTCATACATTTAAACAATAAAAAACCCAATAAAATGTTATTAAAAAAAAATGAATATTTATCACGTGTAAAAGTGACAGTATAAGAAAATATTTTTAGTGTATAAAGAATATATTTTATAAAGAAAATAAATATTATGTAGTGCATACGGTAATGTTAATGTGTATGATGTTATGATGTACATTTCAAAAGAATATAATGAACATAATGAACAATAAAAAAAAAAAATAATAAAGGACACTAACATATTAATATATTAATGTTATAGTATATATAAGAATATATATATATGTTTAAAATATAAAGTCTATAAAAGTATATTAAAGTACATAAAAAGTAAATTACTATATAAAAGTATAAAAGTATATAAAAGTATATAAATTACTATACAATTATTTCTTTATTATATTCTCACTATACTATAAAAAAAAAAATTTTTTTTTTTTTTTTTTTGGTTACAAGTTTTCATTGCGTAATCTACATTTACACATTATCGTTTTGTGATATGCCACCGAAAAGTTAGGAGGAGAAAGGAGGAGAAAGGAGGAGAAAGGAGGAGAAAGATAAAAATAAAATAATGTTCAATTTCGTGCAACAAAACAACAACAACAAATTACTAATTTCCAAATTCAAAAAATCATCTAATTCTAAACCTAAATTTCTTTAATAATTGAGAGGCTGAGGCGTAAGGTTTAGTTTACCTTATTTGTATGTTATTTTATTGTTATTTTTATCCGAAAAAAATTTTAATTTAATTATTTTCATTTTCTATAAATAACTTTAAACCTAAATTAATTAACTGGGGCTTGGCACAATGCATAAAACTAATTCAATTCTAGATTTTTCTTTTTTTATTATTACTCGATCATTTTTTATTATTTATTTCTTTCCCTAAAATAACAAAAAAAAAAATAAAAAAAAAACTAAAATAATGAAATAAATTTAAATAAGATTGTTCACAACAAAAAATAATAGAATAAAATAAATTCAATTGATTACAACTTTTATTGTACAAGAATTAATTTAATTTTTAATTTATATAATTTAATATAATTTTATATAATTTAATATATAATTTAATTTAATCAGATTGAATGAATGAATTATCAAAAAGTAAATTTAATCAAACTTTCTTTTCCAAATATTACCAAACTAGTAAAACAAAATTAGATCACACGTTTTAGACACTCTTCTTCTTTGATTTAAAGATTCCGTTCCCCTGAAAAGTTTTACAATTTATAAACAATTAATCATAATTCATAAATTCATCGAACGGTTAAAATCAACTTAATTATAACTTAATTAAAAAAAAATTATTAATTAATTATAAATTATATTTTATACAGTATTTAAGAAAGAATATCTTTTTTTCTTTAGATTGTTTAATAAATTATAATATAAAAATGATAATATAAAATAATAATAATAATATAAAAAAAACTAATATAAAAAAAAAATAATAAATAATAATAATAATAATAATAATAAACAGATGATAATAATAATATCACAAGCCAAACAACAATAAAGAAAACATGAATTGAAATAAATAAAATAAAAAATAAAATTTGTAATTGGTTCTTCTTTTTTTTCCTCTATTTGAACTAATCAAACAACTCAAACAACATTTAAATTAAAACTTGATTGAATTAAAACAATAATAATTAAAACTTGATTGAATTAAAACAATAATTGAAACTTGATTGAATCAAAAAAAAAAAACACTAAGATCCAATTCGATTGAGTAATTTTCATTTTAAGGTTTTTTTTTTCTTCTCTTTTCTTCTCTCTCGCTCACTTGTTATCAAATAATAGCGAAATTAATGTTATTATTCATTCATTCATTCATTTATTCATTCATTCATTCATTCATTCATTCATTTAGAATTATTCTTTGTTTTCTTTTCGTTTTCTTTTTTCTTTAAAAGAAATATACTTTGTACTGACAATATTTTATATAATATTATATAATATCATACAATATCAATATTAGATATTATTTTATGTTAAGTTTAAATAACACGTTATGTTAAATTATTATTTAAATTAAAATTTATTTTATTTTATTTTATTATTTTATTTTATTTATTTAAAATTATTATTCATTATACAATTATATCATATAATAAAATAATAAAATATATACAATGTATAAAATGAAATCATTTATTATTATTATTTTTTTTTTTTTTTCATTTCATTACATAATTCCTTTCTTCTTTCTCTTCTTTTCTTTATTTTGCTTTTTATTTTACTTTATTTATTAATTAATTATTTATTTATTCATTCTTACATTCTTAATTTCTTTCTTTCTGTTGATCCTATATTCGGTATATCTTTCATGATCTGATGATAAAAATTTTTATTACAATTACATCATTACCAAAAAAAAGTAACGTTTCTTTGTGTACTTCTTCTGTGCTTCTTCTGTGGCTATTCTGTGGCTCTTCTGTGACTCTTCTGTGACTCTTCTGTGACGCTTCTGTGACGCTTCTGTGAAACTGTTGCATGCAAATTGGCGAGTAGCGTTATGTGTTCTTTGTTTATACGTCATTACAATGTTATGAATATTATGAATATGTATCCAGAATAGCATGTATGCATTATAAATTCACATAATGTTTGATGCATTCATTCTTTGTGATTTGATAATTCGTAATAACAATAAAGAATCAAATTAATTAATTAGAATTAGAATTATAATTTACAAATCCAGAACTCTGGATTTCAAAAACAAGATTAAAAATAAATTCTATTTCTTTTATTTATTTTTATTTTTTTTTCTTTGAAAATTTTTATTTTCTTATTAGAATAGAAATAGCATAGCATAATTCAAAAAAAATATATCAAACATACAAAAATACAAATAACTATTATATTATGAATGTTTAAGCAGTTTCAGTTTTAAAATTCTTTTCTATATTTGAATTTTTTTTTTTTAGTATCTTTTATTCAAATTAACAAAAAAGGGGTTTTTAATTTTCTTGTGACTTTTTCTTGCATCTTTTGCATCAATTTTTTTCTTTAATTAATCATCACCTTCCATGGGTAAAAATTATAATGAATATTTAAACAATTACATTTTAATCTTACCCCAATGAATAAAAATCTATTCCAAATTACCAAGTTTGGTTATAATAAATTAAAATTACCCCATAAACATATAATAAATCGTAAGTCTTAATTTATTGTATGCACTTACAAAGTTAACACATCTGATATAAATCTGCTCTGATAACCTTAATATTTTTCCTCTTTCTCTCTACACATTTTTCTCAATTAACGAATTTTTTTAAAAAATAAAAAAAATAAAAAGAAAAAATAGTAATGTCAGAAACAACTCTTAATGCCATCAATGCCATTAATACTATTAGTACTTTAGAAGAAAATAAAGATAAAGATAATAATGATACAGCAACGACGGAGGTTTTTGAAAATCGCTGTTTGTTGTTTCCTACTTATGCTACAAAACATATTTATAAAGGTAGAATTTTTATGATTATGATTAGATTAATTAATTAATAGTTATTAATTCTTTTATTATCATATAAATAAATGTTGACTTTAATTTTTTGTAAAGAAAATAATAATTAAATATAATTTTTGAAATATAACTTTTTTTGTTTTTTTTTGTTTTTTTTTTTTTTATTTCTTATTTTTTATTTTTTTATTTTTTTTTTTTGAAATGATAATTGAATTAATTGATTAGATGGATCAGATTCTCCTATATTGACTGACGAATGGAATATTCGAATTCGAGGTTGGGCATATTCAGCACCAAAATCAACCAGAACTCGTTCCCTTTTCCTTGGTAAAATATAGAAATGTTATTAATTGAAATGTTATTATAATATAAATGTTATCACAATCTTCTTGAAATGTTATTAAAAAATGTTAACCTTATTTATTACTGGTCATCAAAATTTTTTTTTCAGGTTTAACATCACGCGTCACAGGAATCCAAAAAACTGATGCCAGTTATGAAATTCTTGAATCTCGTACATCTTTATTTTGGGCGAATAATATTGATGATAAAGAGTTCACGGCGAAAATAATTGGTCTCACTGATTCAAACAAGATGTCCCTTGAAGGTGATCCTAATGACCTATCCATAGAACATCTAAGTTCTCATGATTCTATTAAGACCAATATCAATGAGAATTTAGAAAAGATAGATAATGATGATCATGATAATAAGGTTGATAATAATAATGTACAACGAAAATACCCTGAAGAAGAAATGTCGAGTATTAAGATTTCTCCTTTAACAGGAAATTTATCAGGATATCTTACTATTAAACAATCGATTGTTGATAAATGGTTGAGACAAGAAGAATCTAATGCTCAAGCGGTCGGTAAATTCTTTCAAAATTTGATTGGAAAAGGAAATAACAAGATTCAATTACTTAAGATTCAATCTGTTTGCGATGATGAAAAGTGTAAGCTACAATATACTATATAATATAATATGCTATAATATTATATAAATATGATTTAATATAATATATTAACTGAATATTATTTTATATATGCTTATTATAGCTCATACAACATATGGTGTTGTGAATTTGATAGGGCCAAAAGGATTCTCCGTAATTTCTGTAAGCTGAATATTTATATCATTTTATTTATATTTTATTTATATATTAATAATTATATATTGATACTTATATATATTAATATTATTATTATATTTTATTTATTCAAATTAATTTCAAATTTATTCAAATTTATTCAAATTTATAATTATATTTAGGACATTGATGACACAATTAAAGAAACTGAAATCCTTGGTGGAGCAAGGACCATATTTAAAAATACATTTTTACAACCTTTCAAAGATGTAAATAAATGAATTTATATTTATTATTATTATATTAATTATTTATTTATTATTAATTATTAATTATCAATTAATATTAAATATTAATTATCAATTATCTAGGTTGATGGAATGTCAGACCTTTATACAAAATGGGTAAATAAGATATATATATATATATATATATTATTCCTTTCGTATTAATTAATAATAATATCACTCTACCTTAATAATTTCACCTTTAATAATTTTATCGTTAATAATAAAATAGTATAATAAAAGCGTAGCATTTCATTACGTCTCTAATTCACCCTGGCAACTATTCCCAATGATTGGATCATTTTTCAATACATATCATTTTCCTCCTGGTTCGGCACATCTTAAATTCTATGATGGAATATTTAAGAGTGCTAGGAATCAAAGGGATCAACCGATGGCCAGTAAATTTATGTATATTAGAGAATTGCTTAAGGTATATTTTTCTATATATAACGAATGAATAATAAGATGTGGGTTTGAGAGTGAGTGATGCATTTTGAGATAAGGATATATATAATATTTATTGATTTATTCTTCTAGGATTTTCCTGAACGTAAATTTATTCTCATTGGTGATACCGGTGAACTTGATCCTGAAATGTAAACGTTTTTTATTTATTTTATTTTATTTTGTTATAATAATGATAACAATGATAATGATGATAATGACAATAATAAGATAAAATAATTCATATTTTAATGTACTTGTTAATATATTCAATTGACACTCCTTTTATTGTTATTATTATAGATACACCACAATTGCACGTGAAAATCCAGATCGAATTATTAAAATTTTTGTCAGGGATGTAACTACAGCTCACGTAAAGGATCTTCCAGCTCAACCAGCAAAACGTTCGTATACACAAACATTCACAACAACCTATAAATACTTACGTAGTTATTATTCTGGTGATTTCAATAATGAGAATCCGAATGAAGTAAAAGTTGATGAGAATGTGGATAAAATAAAAGATGATATTATGGATAAAGTAGAATCCACTAGAGATATAAAAGATGAACAAGATAAACAAGATAAATACGATGAATCTTCTCATCCTTACCTTACACGTATTATGCATGATATATCTCATTTACATTCATCATTAGGTTCAATTATTGGATTTGATAATACCACCGATGAAAATAAAAGAGATGTGCCTAAAGAAGAAATAACAATTAAAAATAGTAGTAATATTAGTAGTAGTGGTAATAGTAATAATGAAGATGATGTTGAAGAGATGAAAACTCCTTTGGAAATGTTTCATGAAAGATTAGAAAAGTTGAAAAAGGGATTACCCGAAGGTTTATTTTCGACTTTTACTGATCCCAAAGACATAGAAAATGATCCTTTGATTAAAAAATATTTGATTTAATTCTTTTCACTAAATTATTATTTATTTATTTATTCTTATGGAGAAAATTAGACAAGGTTCCTTTGGGTAATTGTCTATTTAAGAATTTTTTATTTATTTAAAGTTATTTAAAGTTACTCTTTATTTATTTATGTAAATTTACTGTTGATATATATATATTATGTTAATAAATTACCATTATAATTATATAATACGTCTACCTGCCGGGCATTGGAAAATTTCAAGGGTGGATTGTGACACAATGAATAATCCAATTAAACTCGATCAAAGAATTTTGGAATATTTGTTTCAAATGCAAGAAAATATGCTAACTTTTTTCCTTCCTTACAGTCTCCGAGAATTATCGAGCACGAGAGAGCGCTATTTATACTACTATTTATGATGGTAAATGCGCTAATGTTCATTAATATATTGAATTTAGCTTTCTTTTCTTTCTTTTCTTCCTTTCTTTTTCTCTCTACAGTCGCGTCGCAAAGTAACACCTGATTTCCTGGTTAAACAATATGCAATATTTTCACACCTGATTGTCCTTTTTTTTTGTTTTCTCTCATCTATTTATTTTTATAACTGTATGGATGTTATATAATGATTTGTATGGTTAAAAATAACATCCAAAACTGGTGTTTCAAAAGGAATAACTCTCCAATGCGTACTGCAAAAAAAAAAAAAAATTAAAACGTTGGACAGGAATTGTCAAAGGATAATGTTCAAAAACAAAAAAAAAAATTCCAAAAACTGTAGTTGAGCTTAAGACTGCTTTGAGTGATAAAATTTAATGCATCAATTATTAGGAAGGTTATTGCCAAACAGAATTGGATGCAAAGGGAGGGCCAACAAAGTATTAGTTATTTATAAAAAAAAACTTTACATACATAGATGTACATATCGGGCGTTACTTTTCGACGGACGGATCGTACATTGTACATAAATATGGATCAACATAAGAAAGGGAAAGTATTATTTTTTTTGCACGCATAAGTATAATATATCCATATCTAGGAGAGGAAATACGTGAAAGTTTCGATTTTCCGTTGTAATTTATTTTAATTTGCAATGTAATGATATGTAATATGTATATGTATATATATATATTTTAAAAATACAGTGGTGTTCAAAAAAAATGACATTTTTTAAAATCACGTTATTTAAATGATTATCACACCAATTAAAATGTATTTTGTATTATTTTAAAGCTGAAACTTAGCAGATTTTATTAAAAAAATTTAATATGATATTCTTTCTCCATTTTTTTCAATAACCTCTCTACAACGTCGTGGCA